TCTAACTGGAAATGAAAAATATGCGCCGAGTCTCATTTCCATTCATGCGAGGAGACTCTTGAAAAGCGGACTCCGGCCCTTGGCACCTGATTTATCGTTTTTGTTTTGTTGTACTGTGTTTTTAAAGTGATTGATCAAGACAAGTGATCAAAAATGCTTTGAGAAGCAGTTGGAGATCTTTACGAGAAAAAAGCCGCTTAAAACAAGACAAATTTGGATTATGCTCAATAGATTTCTAGATAAAGTTGGGAAGGTGCTGCAGCAAATACAACAAATACAGCAAATCTATCCTAGCTGAGGAGGAGGAAGGTGGAGGAGTACCTACTTGGCCCCAACAAAGAGGAAATGAAAGGAGCAGAGATCTCTGATTTGGGGAAGGAGGCACAGGTACACCAGGGACCTAAAGCAGGGACTACAGCACATCAAAGGTCCTGTCAGAGAGGCTTACAAAGGAACAGAATACTAATGGCCGGTGCTTTGCAAGGAGTCCCCTACACGTCCAGCGCCTGGGGTCCAGTTCCTAGTTCTCTCAGTCAGTCCCTGGATAATCAAACGCAGTTTCTTGTTTTCACTGGAGGAGTCTATACACGGATGACTCTGAAATTTATGTTCCAGAATAGACTCTAATCCAACCACGTTAAATACTTCTCAAACTGAGGTGTGTAGTTTAATTCAAATAAAATTACCAACACAGGCTTGATAATCATGACAAAGATAATAAATAATAACTATATTAAAAGAGAACAAAAACTCACCAGTTCTGAATAAAACAACTAGTGGGATTTAGTATTGGCTTAGTATGGACAAATGGGTCAGGAAATAGAGAGCAATAAACCACACTGTAGTTTTGTTTTGTTTGAGACATGGTCTCTTGATGTAGCTCTGGCTGTCCTGGAACTCACTATATACACCAGGCTGTCCTGGAACTCATAGAGACCCACCTGCCTGTGCCTACTGATTAAAGGTTTATGACAGTACAACGGACAAGATCCAGATCTTCTGTGTATGTAGAAGCAAAGGGAGAGGGCTGTTTAATGAATAGTACTAGGGTGGGACAGCTATTTTACCACATAGAAATGAGATCCATTTCAAATACATACAGAAAAATCAATTTTACGGTAACAGTTTTCTTTTTTTTTCTTTTTTCTTTCTTTCTTTTTTTTGTTTTTGTTTTTGTTTTTTTTTGTCTTGTTTTTAGAGACAGGGTTTCTCTGTGTAGCCCTGGCTGGCCTCAAACTCAGAAATCTACCTGCCTCTGCCTCCCAAGCGCTGAGATTAAAGGCGTGTGCCACCACTGCCCAGCTAAAAAATCGATTTTAGATAGTGTCTTAGCTACTGTTCTATTGCTATGAGGAAACACTATGACCAAGGCAACTTGTTATTTTTTTTTTAACTTTAATCTATACATATGAGTATTATGTCTTTCTGTATGTCTTACAAGACAGAAGGAGGCATCAGATCCATTACATCCATTACATATGGTTGTGGGCCACCATGTGGTTGCTGGGAATTAAACTCAGGACATTTTGAAGAGCAGTCACTGCTCTTAAACACTGAGGCATCTCTCCAGTCTCCAAGGAACGTATAAAGGAAGACATTCAACTGGGGACTTAAAGCTTCAGAGGGTTTTTTCATGATCAGCACAGCGGGAAGCAGACAGGCACAGAACAGAAGCCAAGAGCTTTAAACCCTGATTCTCCAGCAGTGGGGAGAGACTGAGCCTGGCCTGGGCTTTTGAAAGACTCAAACAGTTTCACTAGCTGGTAACTGAACATCCCACCATAGGAACTCAGGGGGACCATTCTCATGCAAACCATGACAGATGGAGTAAAAACAAACACTGAACTTTTAGAAAATATCATCTGAGTACAATTTTGTCTAAATCCTACAGATAAAATTATAATTGTAGAGGAAAGAAAGCCATAAACATTAGAATCTAAGCCTTCTGTTCATCATGAAACAGTGAAAGAAAAAGCAGAAGGAAACATGGACAGCTACAGACTTAGAATCTTTTCATTTACACATGTGCAGCTCTGTATCTGTAATATATAATATATGAAAGAAGTCTTCACATTCAATAGGCAAATGTTGGCTGGGCATGAAGTTAAGTTGACACAGTGCCTGTCTCAAATATCTCTAGCACTTGGGAGATAGAATCAAGAAGGATTATAGCCAGGCGGTGGTGGTGCACGCCTTTAATCCCAGCACTTGGGAGGCAGAGGGAGGTAGATTTCTGAGTTCGAGAGTTCGAGGCTAGCCTGGTCTACAGAGTGAGTTCCAGGACAGCCAGGGCTACACAGAGAAGCCCTGTCACAAAAAACCAAACCAAAAAGAAGGATTATAAATTCAAGGTCATCCTCAGCTACAGAGCCTACATAGAGGAGAGGAACAGCTATGGGCTAATCTCACACAGCTGCTGACGGTGTGCTGAGTGTCAGTTTGTCTACTCCTGGCTCTGAGGACTCACATCCGGGCTTGAGCGTGCTAGGCAAGTGCTCTACCACTGACCTACATTCCAAGCTCATCGTGAGGTTTATTGTTTTGTTTTTTTTTTTTTGTTTCTCGAGACAGGGTTTCTCTGTGTAGCCCTGGCTGTCCTAGCACTCACTGTGTAGACCAGGCTGGCCTCAAATTCAGAAATCCTCCTGTCTCTGCCTCCCAAGTGCTGGGATTAAAGGCGTGCATCACCACCGCCTGGCCTCATCGTGAGGCTTAAGTACATTAAAACAAAGATAATTAAGATGGAATGCTTGTCTCGAAATGTCAACTGTGGACTCTTTCTTTTTCTTTCCTCAATTTCTAACATTTTATGATTTTCTCCCTACATGTTTGCCCTTTCCCTGGAGAATTCCTTTTAAGTTCAGCTACTGATCCATGAATGTTTTCAGAGATATTAACCTAATAAGTATTAACGTGGAGACTTAACTGCTGTAAGCTTCTTGTTAATTCTTCCAATGAATTTTTCTTGTTTTGAGATTGCTTCTTTTGCAAAGTAAACTATTCTTGTTTAATTAACGGACTTTACCCTGAATTCCAATGATAACACTAAGTAAAAAAAAAAAAATGCTGTCCTTTTATATGAACTTTTGGCAGAAGTCTCTACTTTGAACCTTCTGATTCTCTTCATAATGTCTGATCATGTTTCATTTCCAGCTTATAAGATAAACAAAAGTCTAGATCAGCATCATGTGATATGACTTTCTGAAACCATGGCAATTTTTGTTCTCTCCTGGGCTTTTGTTCACTAGCCTCGGGTGGCTAGTGAGGATGGGAAATGCAGCTAGCGCAACTGCAGGACCAACTGTCAGATTTTATTTATTTTCATTCATTTCAATTGAGATGTGAAAAGCCACACATGGCAGACAGCTACTGTACTGTACAGTCTAGTTCCAGATTCTTCCATATTCGTGACTCGGATGGGCTCTTCTAGCAAATGTGTGGTCACCACTACATTCTTCAGACAGACCCTTTCTTCTCCTGTCTACGAAGCTAAAGGAAGAGAAAAGATGGCTATTGGGGCAGGCAGCTGTGGAGCAGCTCCTAACTGATATTGCAGGAGAAGGCCAGGAGGTGGAAACTTTCTTTCAGCAAGCCTTGATAGGAAAGTTCTGTCTCTGCCGGGCTCTCTACCATCTATACTACCATCCTACAAGCACAGACACAAGGAGGTGGGTTGGAGGGAGGAAGAGAGAGAGAATGTGCAAGAGAATGGTACACAGGACCAACCAACCCAAAGGACAACTCTTTCCTACATCTTTTCCCAATACTGAATCAAGGCTAGAGATGCTTTCAGAACGAGACACCATTGCTCCTAGTACTGGTTGAGCTACCCCATCAGGACATTAAGGGGCAGAGGAAAGGTGTCAAAAATAGATATGCTTGTTCCTTACAGTGATACCACTTTGATGATTAAAAAAATGTCAGCATTCAAAAACAGCTTAAAATTCAACAACGGGTCTGCTCCTCATAGGATAGGCAGAGGGAGACAGAAAGGTCATGTGGTTACGGCAGAGACTGGAGTGATAGCCATAAGCTAAGGCATGGGGAGGGCTGCCACTAAACACTGGAAGCCAGGAAAGGGCAAGGAGGATACTTTTTCTAGAGACTTCTCAGAAGGCATGATGATGTGAGATCTGGACTTCAGACTTCCGGCCTCCAGCACTGTGAGAGCATCCACTGTTTGAGCTGCCCAGGTTAGGGTGTCTTACTACTGCCACAGCAGTTCTGAGACATCAGCAAGCAAAGTAGTGCTCCTCAAACAGTGATGGATGGCTGATCTCACACACAGGAAAAGTAGCACACAGTTTCTCGTGGCAACTCTTCTTCACCGAAGAAGTGACTTCACCTTTTTTACATAACTAAATTCTGATTAAAATGCTAAAATAGGGCTGGAGAGATGGCTCAGTGGTTAAGAGCACTGACTGCACTTCCAGAGGTCCTGAGTTCAAATCCCAGCAACCACATGGTGGCTCACAACCATCTGTAATGAGATCTGATGCCCTCTTCTGGTGTGTCTGAAGACAGCTACAGTGTATTCATATATAATAAATAAATAAATCTTTTTTAAAAAAATAAATAAAATAAAATGCTAAAATAAAGTCATCAGTTGGGGATAGGGCAATAATTGTAAAGGTGAATACAAATATGATTTGAAGACACTTCTACAGATATAAAAAGGATGGATATAGCACATTAAGAAAGAACTTTAAGATTCAAGAAGTATATTACTGAATGCTTTAAATACGTAACTATAAATCCAAATAATTTTAATAACTGAAATTCAATGAAAAAACATTTTCTCTAAAATAATGAGAGTGTCATTTTTAATTTAAAGATTTATCTTAAAGAAATTCTTATATTTTGGTGGTAAAGGATATTTATTTCTCTACCAGGCCACACTTTATTGCCTATGGTGGGAAGGGCACTGAAGTACCTTGGACTTATTTTCAGAGACAATAAAGTCTATGAACAACTTGTAATTTATAGAAATGATCACATACCTCAGTAGCAGAGCCGCTCTGGGCCCGAGCGAGTTCAAGAGAATGAATTTTCTTGGCACTCATTTCATCAGACTCAGCAATGATGTAATGCCTTGGCGAGTAGGCACTGGACAGGCTTCCAACCAGCCTCAAGATCTCGGCGGTGTGTCCTCCTGGACACAAGAATAACATGGCTTAAGGCTATGACCACAGTGGGGAGGGGTAATTGAAGAGGTAGCTTAGTGGTTAGAGCGCTTGGTGCTCTTACGTATTGCATCCTTCTATAACTCCTGTTCCAGAGGACCTGACAGCCTTTCCTGACCTCCATAGGCACCAGGCGTGCACATGGTACACACACACACACACACACACACACACACACACACACAGCTAAGTCACTCATGCATATAAAATAAATCAAGAAAAACAGGGAGAGTAAATGCAATGTGGGCTGGAGAGATGGCTCAGTGCTTAAAGAATGTGTACGAATATGTACTTTTCTCATAGAAGACCCAAGTTCGGTCCTTACCACCCATGTTGGGCAACTCTGGCTTCAGGAAATCTTGATGGTTCAACAATCACCTATATACACACGTACAAACTCCCATACCGACACACACATATACATAATTAAAAGCAAAATTTTAGCTGGATGGTAGTGGCACACATCTTTAAATCCAGTACCCAGGAGGTAGAGGCAGGCAGATCTCTCAGTTTGAGGCCAGCATGGTCTACAGAGAGAGTTCCACAACAGCCAAGGCTACTCAGAGAAACCCTGTCTCAGAAACAAACAAACAAGCAAACAAAACCCAAAATAAATAATAAACAATAAAACCTTAATTTAAAAAAGTAACCTACCATGCAAATAATCCATTTCACCACATTATACCAAAGTCTTGTTTTCAGGGGTAAAGAACTAATGTGATTGCCTATTTCCTTTTTCTTTTTTTAAAGATTTATTTATTTATTATATATGAATATACTGTAGCTGTCTTCAGACACACCAGAAGAGAGCACCAGATCTCATTGCAGATGGTTGTGAGCCACCATGTGGTTGCTGGGATTTGAACTCAGGACCTCTGGAAGTGCAGTCAGTGCTCTTAACCACTGAGCCATCTCTCCAGCCCGATTGCCTATTTCCTAAAAGAACACACGAACACAGAGCACACAATCTACACTCTTATATAAATACTGCTTTTATATAGAAGATAATAAATGCTGCTGGGCAGTGGTGGCGCACGCCTTTAATCCCAGCACTTGGGAGGCAAAGGCAGGTGGATTTCTGAGTTCGAGGCCAGCCTGGTCTACAGAGTGAGTTCCAGGGCAGCCAGGGCTACACAGGGAAACCCTGTCTCGAAAAAACAAACAAACAAACAAACAAACAAACACAAAAAAACCAAAACAAAAAAACAAAACAACAACAAAAAAAGCATTAAAATGGTACTATCAGTAAAGAATAAAGATGGTATATGGAAGTATAAGACACTTTCTTGATTTCCTGAAGTCAAGACAGCTGACCAGAAGAGGGCAAGATACACACGCATTTATAAAGAAGATGCAAGGCCACTCAGGTGGGAAGACAAAGGGCTTTGAAAAATCAATGCTTTCCAAATAATGACCCCAGAAAAGCTAAGAAGACAACATGTAAGAATAACAGATGTGTAGGAGTGGAGACCTTTGGGCAGAGGCAGGATTGTTAGACAGGAGACAGTGAGATCTGAGTTGTTTTCATGAGGCAAAGGGAACACAAGGGTAAAGGTGAGGTCAGGTCAGGGAAGCAGTACGAAGGCAGGACAAGGCGGCTTCTGTGTGGAGAAGTCACTTGATGAGCTCTGTCATCAGGGTGTGAGCTTCCTGGAGGAAAATTGTTAGTCACTCTAACCTCAGGTCCCAACAGAAGTCTCAGCACACTGAGGTCTTCAACGGATTACCCGTTCCTCCACAGGAGTCTACATTCAGTTTCTTAAATTTTGCAATCTAAAAGATGTTAACACTTTATTCTCAAAATGACCACTTTAAAAATCAGTCACAGGGCTAGAGAGATGGCTCAGTGGTTAAGACGCTCTTCCAGAGGCCCTACGTTCAATTCCCAGCAACTACATGGTGGCTCACAACCATCTGTAAAGGAATCCGATGCACTCTTCTGGTGTGTCCAAAGAGAAAGACAGTGTATTCACATATATAAAATAAATCTTTTTTTGTTTTTTTGTTTTTTTTTTTTTTTTTCGAGACAGGGTTTCTCTGTGTAGCTCTGGCTGTCCTGGAACTCACTCTGTAGACCAGGCTGGCCTCGAACTCCGAAATTCGCCTGTCTCTGCCTCCCAAGTGCTGGGACTAAAGGAGTGTGCCACCACTACCCAGCAAAATAAATCTTAAAAAAGAAAAAAAGATCAGTTTCAGCTGGGCAGTAGGGGTGCATGACTTAAATCCTAGCACTCAAGAGACAGAGGCAAGTGAATCTCTGCAAGTTTGAGGCCAGCGTGGTCTACAGAGTGAGTTCCAGGACAACCAGAGCTACACAGAGAAACCTTGTCTGCAAAAGCAAAAGCAAAAGCAAAAAAAAAAAAAAAATCAATTACAGCAGGGGCTGGAAGGATGGCTCATCAATTAAGAGAATCAAGAGTTCTCTCTACTCTTACGGAGGACTGGAGTTCAGCTCCCAGCACCCACATGGAGTGACTCACAACGTACTATAACTCCAGCTCCAGGAGACAGGACACCCTCATCTAACCTCCCAGGCCACCCTACACGAGTGTGTGTGCGCGACACACACACACACACACACACATTTAAAAAAAATCTTTTATTAAAAACATCAATTACAGCCATCTCTGGAGCACAGGGTTCTGGGTTGCTCACTGAACCCAAAATCTCCAGGTGCTCAAGTTCTTTACACATAAACATTTTCGTTTTTACACATAACCTACACATTTCTTCCTATATGCTTTAAATCATTCCTTGATTACTTAATATAATGTGAATGCTAGTTAAATAATTAGTATACTGTATTGCTTAAGGAATAGTGAAAAGTCTGTACATGTTCATTACAAATGCACTCTTTCAAGTTATTTTGGATCTGAAGATGTAAAACCCACAGGTAGGGAAAGAGAGTCAACCTGCATGTCCTCTATGGTTTCCTTCATGAAAACGAACATGACTGCAGTGAAAGAATATCAAACTCCTCATCAGTTGTAACTGTTTCAGTTTTATTTCACAAGCTCTTTGGGCCAGCCTAGCCTTCAGTGCTCCCTCCAGCCATCTTACCACACCCTCCTTGCCTCTCCCACCTAGAAAGCTCCTTCATCCCCATCCCCTTTGTTGTCCTAAGAATGACTTTTAATAACACAGGAGCACACAGAAAGACAAGCACGCAAAATGTGCTCCCCCCGCCATCAGAAAGTTTATTAGGAGAAAGACCATTTTTCCAGGTTCTAGAATGAATTAGAAAGGAATGTGGGGAGGTAGCCACAGTGAGCACTTCAGGAATTAACTACAGCTTGCTTCCCATCTTCTTCCCTGGGGCACATGATTGACACATCTGTAGTATTTTTATTTAGGGCTTTGAAAAAGTGTTGGGCCAAGTAGTTCCCCGCCCCACCCCACAGATGGAACAATTAATGATAAAGCCTAAGACCCAGTGAAATGGCAGCTTCATAGGACTTGCTTTAACAGTCTCTCCTCTGGGTTTTCAAGGAAACACTCAGTGAATGCACTCACTGAAAATTTAACCTGGTTACTATAGTAAAGTCACCCAAAATGATTGACCCTGTTACCAAGGCTCCATTGTATTCTTTTATTACATTAGGGGAGGGGGCTGGAGGATGGCTCAGTGGTTAAGTGCACTTGCTGCTCTTCCGGAGGACCTTAGTTTGATTCCTAGTATCCACATTAGGCAGCTCAAAAGCTACACGTAACTTCAGCTCCAGGGAATCTGACCACCTTTTCTGGCCTCTGCACACACACATGCACATATATCACACAAGCATATGCATGTACGTAAATAAAAATAAATCTTTCTTAAAGTAGGAGGGATAAAATCATTTTAGTAGATGGGCATCCACAGGAACATACAGTAATATATAAATATATAAAATATAAATTCGGCTGGGCCGTGGTAAATCCAGTCGGGCCGTGGTGGCGCAGGCCTTTAATCCCAGCACTTGGGAGGCAGAGGCAGGCGAATTTCTGAGTTTGAGGCCAGCCTGGTCTACAGAGTGAGTTCCAGGACAGCCAGAGCTACACAGAGAAACCCTGTCTCAAAAACCAAACCAAATAATTAATAAATAAATAAAATAAAATATAA